TCCCCACAGGGTCACAGTCACGCTGGGCACTCTGGAGCTGTGCTCCTGGGTGCTCTGGGACCTGCTAWCTGTGCGCGATGGCCCTGTCACCACTTTTTCCCTGTGGCTCTGGACCCTGACCCAAAAGGGAACCCCAGAGGGCAGGGCCTGTGGGATGAATCTGTGACCTCCCCTGCGTTGGCCCAGGACTGCTGTCCCAAGAAGAAGCCAGGGCCCCTCATCTCAGACCTCCTGCTTGTTCCCTGTGTCCTCACCCCAGACGTAATGTCCCTACTCAAATGCCACCTCCCTGATGACCCCGCATACAGCACAACCRCCCCCACTCTCAGAGTCCCTCAGTCCCCCTTCCAGGCTCCATCGCCATGGACATTTAAAATATTCATTTAGTGGTCCACCTCCTCCCCTAGAGTAGAAGCAGGAACCTCTTCGTCTGCCACAGCATCCCTGCACCCAGAATTGTGCAGAACCGAGGAGATGCTCAATAAATTTTGTAGGGTTTTTTTKGGGGGGGCCAGAGATGAAACCCAAGCCTCACACATGCTCAGCATGCGTTCATCACTGAGCTGCACCCCAGCCCTTTTGTTTGAGTCAGGGTCTCCCCAACTTGCCCAGGTTGGCCTTAAACTTGCAATCATCCTGCCGCAGCCTCCCAAGTTGCTGTGACAGCAGGGGTGCACAGCCAAGCTCAGTGCCATCGATATTCTTAAGTGAATAATGACTTAATAGGGCCACCCAAGACCCCACCCGGGATGCCCAAGCCAGACATGGGCCATGGTGCCCAGGGACTCAGACCCCAGGACAAGTGCACACCCTCTCCCTGCACCCGCCCCGGGGCTGCACCTTGCACTGCAGGTAGGCAGTCTGAGGCCGGCCGGCCTCGTCCGTGTAGATGACCTGCATGACGTGTGAGCTGCTGAAGCTCTTCTCCTCCACCTTCTCGGCTGCCCGGATGTTGGCGAGCTTGATGAGGGTGCTCTTCTAGGACAGGCAGGGGAAGGGGCTCAGGGATGGGCGGGGCTGCTCCACTTCCTGCCTCTGGACATCAGCCTCCCTTCTGTAATCCCAGGGGTTGGCATGGGAGACCAAGTGATGATTGCTCCTAGGGCCCAGTGAGGTGAGCAACCTCAGCAGGACACAGCACCAAGCCACTGGGAGGGGAGCAGCCTCGTTCCCCGGGGTTCCCAGCAGGTCTTGGAGGGGGAAGCTCGGGAATAGCATCTGGACCCAGCATTGCCAGGACTCTCGAGGTCCCACACAGGCTGTGCCTCTGCACTGATCCATGCCCACCTGCTGTCCCTGGCTCTCAGTCCTTTCCAGCCCCACCCCAGCCACTATTGGACCTGAAGACACATGCATGGGGCAGAGAGAAGCTGCAAATCCAGATAACCACATCCCTGAGGGGTCCCCAACCTGCCAACGCCAAATCTCCACTCCCAATCTCTCACCCCAGCTCTGTTTTTTATTTGTTTGAGACGGAATCTTACTATACTTCCCAGGCTGACCTCAAACTTGTTGGCCTCAAACTTGGAATCCTCCTGCCTCAGCCTCCCGAGCAGCTGGGATTACAAGCGTGCACCATTGCACCAGACTTCTCCCTGACTCTTGAGTACCCTCCCATAAAAATTCACTTGAGGAGGGGCTGAAGTTGTGGCTCAGTGGTAGAGCACTTGCCTAGCATGTATGAGGCACTGGGTTGGATTCTCAGCACCACAWATGAATAAATAAAATAAAGGTCCATCGACAACTAAAAAAAGTTAAAAAAAATTCACTTGGGCCCCACAATAATGCCAAGCTGAGGTGTCCCCCCTGAGGGGAGGCTGTGGGTAGCAGTCCTGCACAGGGATCCACAGGACACGCCCACAGAAAGGCGGAGCTTTATGCCAAGGAGCACAAGTTGGCCCAGACTTGAGGACAGGATAAGGTTTTGTTGAGGATATGGGCACTTCAGTGGGCACCCCAGGGATGGTATCCGCACAGAGCTAAAGAAACTGGCCAGCGGGAGGCCAGGAGACCAGAGGAGACCTGCTCAGACCAGAAGAGCTGGAAGAGTGCTGCAATCAGGGACAAGAGGGGCTGATGCCCAGCTGAGACAAGGACCACAGAGAACAGCAGGTCAGAGGGCAGGTGTGCAGACATCAAGATGCCATTACAGCGGAATATTATTCAGCCCCCAAAATGAATTCTGTCATTTGCAGCAACAAGGAAGACACTGTGTTAAGTAAAATAAACCTGGCACGGAAAGAAAACACCACATGTTCTCGCTTACAGATAGGGAAAAAAGAAGCCATTAGAGTGGGGAGGGGGAATGTGCAGAGGAGCCGGATCTGGGCAAATACGGACACCTGCTGCCACCAAAACAGAATGTGGGCTACTGCAGAGGCCACTGTGATGGAGCATGCCCCCGTCACCTGGGGACCCTCAGGAACAGGCCCTGAGGTTCTGGCCTGGCTCACCCTTGAGCAYTGGGTTTATCAGTGTGACCTGAGGAAGAAATGGAGAGGACCTGAGCCAGCTAGAGCCACGGGCAGAATTAAACAGGACCAAGCTTATGAAGAAAAAAATATTAAGCCCCGCTCTTCAGGGTTTTTTTCCTGAAAAAAAAAAAATTACCTGAGTCTCAGAAGGTTGAATTTGAGAGTATTGTGAGAAGTAACAATAACAAAAGAGCCAAAACAATACTAGTAGAGGTATGAGAGCCAGAATCAGGGAGGGGATTATCCTGTCTGCTCTTCAGTATTCAGATAACAACCATGTGCACAGTTCCAAATGCCACAGTCCAAGARGGAACTTGGCAATGAAGCATGCAAGATATGGAAAATGGGTAGAAAGCTCAGGGGTGCTGGGATTCCAGAGACCACACTTTGGTTTACGCTTTCTGCTACATTAAGGCAGAGTGGTCGAGCCCAGACCAGATAAGAAAGCAGACTTCAGCTCAAGGTAAGCAACTTTCCAACAGCTGCCAAGACAGAGCAGGCTATGTTTACCAGGTGAGCTCCCTGTCATCATCTCTGGTGGCACACAGTGTCTTCTGGGTATGTTGGTGGGGTGACCCGTGACCCACGAGACACTCTTCGAGATCCCTCCCAGAACTCAGATGTGGCAATTCTACACCCCTGCCTCTTCCAGGGAGCTGTTCCTGATTGTCCCAGCCTTCCCCTCTAGCAGTCTTTGTGAGCCCAGCCACCTCGTGGAACCTGGCTTGCTCCTGCTTCAAAACGTCCCCAGAACTCCAGAGCATCCGCGCCACTGGTGACCATGCAGTCAGCAGCATCGTGGGGAGGACCAGGGTGCAGGGAGGCAGACGTGTGCCATCCCTGATCATGTGGCTTCAAACAAGTCCCTTTGTGCTTCTGAACCCAGGTTTCCGTAACTGGGAGTAACACTGGCAATCTGGCCAGGTTGGAGAGGAAGACTAGGGAGGTGTGGGATGACAGGGCTGACCACAGCGAGCACCTCCCAGAGTGGTCACCATGAGGGCCGTGAGGGCTCCTCACTACTGCTGATCCCTCAGGGAGAGGTGGGCTTCCCCAGGAGGCAGTCAAGGGGAAGCCCTATGCAGGGCAGAAATGACACCTGTGGCCTCAAATGTCTCATCGAGCCACCTAACTGTCAAAGGCTGGTAATTGACAGAAATGGGGACCAGAACGAAATAATGCCTACGAGGCAGGATCTTTCAATTTGAAGGTCAAGAATCATTATGGTAATCTGTGGGTCTTTGGTAGAAGAGATGCTGGGCCCCTCGGTCAATTTCTTGAGAGCAGCAGGTGATCAGTTCCTTCACCTGCTYCAGGCCACACCCACCTGCTCAGGGCTGGGTATGGCACCCCTGCTGGGGTTAGGTGAGCCATCAAGGGGTCAACAGGTCCATCAGAAAAGCATGCTCTCAGCCCTTCTTGGGATGAGGTTAGGACCCTTGGAAACACTGTCTCCTTAAATCTCAGCAACCTGGCAAGTAGGCACGATTATCCCAAATTTACAGGCTGAGACATCAAGAATCAGAGGGGTGACACTTCTCCTATGTACACAGGCTAAGCAGGGCTGGATACCAGAACTCCATGCCTCCCCTGGCTCCTCTCAGAACCTTTAGTTCCTYTCTGCTTTCCCGAAACACCGCTGGAGCCCCCCAACCCCAGCCCAGTGCACCTGACCCGGCAGCCAGGGCTGAACCCGCATCCGCTGCCGCGTGCCTAGAAGCAGAAGCCTCCATCCTCCTCCGCCTTGACTACCTGAAGCCCAGACACCAGGTGCCCAGCTAGCCTGGCTTCCTTCTCCAGGGCAGGTGGTCCCCTGGGGTGGGCCAGGGACGGGCACAGGTGCCTCTTGTCTTCTAATTCCTCGCCAGCCTCCCTCCTTACCCACCTTGGAGCTGGGMGTCTTGGCGAAGCTGAGGGCTTCGGTGGTGAGGGAGAAGTGGAGTTTCTTGAAAGAGGAGGACGTGAGGGGGCCCTTGCCCTTGGTCCTGTGGATGAAGAGCGTCCCCTCCTTCACAGGCGGTGCCTGCAAGCTCAGGGTTCGCTGCAGGTCCAGCTCTGCAGCCGGGGAGTAGGGCGGAGCAAACATGAACACGAGGCTGTGGGCGGGGCCACGGGCGGGGCGGGGGCAGAACAGCAGCAGGCGGTGCTACGAGAGATACCAGCCACCATGGGCGGGGCCTTGGCCCCGGGGCGGAGCAAACGTGAACTGGAGGCAGTGAGGGAAGCGGTAGGTGGGGCCACGAGGCACAGGCAACCGTGGGCGGAGCCACTGGCCCGGAGGCTCTGGCCGGGCAGAGAGCTGAGGCCACGCGCAGAGCAGGACTCACCCTCCTTCTCCTCTATGTCCACAAGCTTGGTGATAAAGTCCTTCAGCTGCGCCACACCCTGGCGCACGGTAGGCTGTAGCGGCTCCATCCAGGCTTCTTTGGCCCTGGAAACTGGCGTGTCCATGTTGCCCACGTTCTGGACCGCCTGGGGGGTGACAGCAGGAAGGRCCAGGCTTAACGGGGGCAGGGACCTGACCACTGTTCCCCACCCAGGTCAGGCTGTAGAGGCAGAAACAGCAGAAACCCTGCCCATGGGCCCACCCTCGCCCTACAGGGGATCAGGGGTGAATGGATCATGGTTTGGAACCTGATAATTAAGACCCTGGAGCCCAACCTATTGGCCTTCAGGCTTAATATCAGACTGCTGCACTTGGTGGACAGACAGGTGCAGCCTGGGGGTAAGTAGACCGGGTTGAAAGGCCTGATTCACCTGACAGGCCTCGGGTTTCCTCTGTCCCTCAGCAAGTCATTCCCTTATCTGTGATATGGGGCTCAGTGGGGGTGACCACGAGAAAGCCTTGTAAAGCCCAGTTCCATGAATGTATCAGGGCCAGTGGGGGACGCACTGTGGTCCAGGCCAGTGCCCCTATGCTGTATCCAACCAGCCATCCCGCCTCTGTCCACAGGCCCGCACCTTGGCCAGCAGGAGCAGCGTGCGGCTGGTGCGGGCGTCCGCGTGCCGCTCCCGCAGGTGAAAGAGCTTGGGTGACATGATGGCAGGAGAAAAGAAGCGCAGGCACAGGAAGCTGGTGACTGCGATGAATGGCACGTTCTGGAGAGGTTTGGAGAGTGGGGGCTGGATTCCCCCTGCCCGGGTTCCCGACAGTCCGCTCCCTTTGGCCCCGCCCCCGCCCTGCCTTCGGCCCCACCCCCGCTCCGCCTCCGCACAGGTTTCTTCCCCACCCCGTCAGCTCTGACCCAGTCCTGCCGGAAGGGGGCGCACCTCGTACTGGGCGCTGGGAAAGCGCTCGCGCACGCGCCGGAAGAGCTGGCGGAAGGTGGCGCGGATCACCGCGGGACAGGCGCGAACCGAGCGGCAGAGCGCGCTCAGCAGCGCCCCTAGGTGGGCGCGCAGCGTCTGTGCGCTCTGCTCCAGCACCTCGGCCTCGGTCTGYGGGCGGTGCAGCCCCGAGCACCTGCGAGGGCCGGGGCAGGTGGACAAGACCGCCGCGGTCAGCGCCCGCACACGGACAGAGAACACACAGATGGGCAGAGCAACACCCCGTAGACCCAGGCAGAAAGAGCCGTAAACACACACTTGCAGAAAGGCAGATTCCCCACCGCTGCGCCCCCAGGGATTCCCACCAGCCTCACCCTACATCCTTAACTTCCACTTTGCTGGGGTCCAGCTCCACGTACTTCTTCTCTTCAAACACTCTGTCAATGATGGGGCCCAGGACGCCGTGCAGATACCGCATCCCTGCCACCTGGGGGCCACCACGAGCCGCACTGGTCAAGACTCCCCGGTCCAGCTGCCCACTATCTCCCCAGCCACTCCGTGCACCATCTGCCCACAGTATCCACCCAGGATGGGGCCAGGTGCACAACCAGGTGACTCAACACACTGTTTCTCCATAAATGAGTGAATGGAACTCTTATGCTTTTGAGAGCACAGAGATAAAACTGGCCTTTCTAAACCTTTGTGTCATGTCACCTACAAGATGAGGATGTTATACCAGGTAGCCTCACCTTCAGGAAAGATTCCATGGACTTTGAGGCCAGAGAGTTGCTTCGGAACAGCGTGTTGGCCTCACCTACAAGCAGAGGTCCCAATGGGCAGAGGGCTGGAACAAGGCTTGGGGGGAGCAGGAGAACAGAGGACCTGGGGGCTCCCAGCAACCTCCCAACCCCGTGCCACCTCTGCTCTCGCCCTCTCCACTGGACCCATCAGCCTGCTAAGAAGGACCCCCTCCCCTGTCCAGTGTCAGCTTCTCCCCGGCCTCACTGGTTCGCCCCAGCTCCAGCTGGAAGAGCAGGTCCAGAAAGTCCTTGGCCAGCCCCTGCCCCAGGAAGAGCTTGAGCAGGTTGGTGGCCACCTCCTGGCGACGATCTGTGCTTGTTGTCTCCTCAATGATGGGGATCAACTGTCCTGGGCCCTGCAACAGGCCGCAGGGGAGGAAGGGCTGGGAGACCCCCGGGGAGCCCAAACCCTCCACTCGAGGACCTCGAGCATTATGGCAAGGGTGGCTGGGCCCTGGACACTGGCCAGCCCCATGCCGCTGCTCTGCAGGATGGGTTTAGGACAGGTCCACTGGTCCTGGGCCCGCCCACCTTCCCCCAGGGCCCCCTCACCTGGGTGCCCAGCTTCACCTCCTGGCACAGCAGCTGCACCAGGGGCTGGTAGCAGCTCGAGGGCAGCACCACCTCGTCCCGCAGTCGCACCTCCAGCTGCAAGGAGCCCAGGCTGCCCCTGGAATGGGTGGCCTGTGACCTCTCCACCAGGGAGGCAGGCCGCCCTGGGCAGCAGCACACACCCCCCCCACCCCCCCCACCCCCACCTCCGGCAGGAGCCCCTCCCAGCCCCACCTGGGGACTTGCCTCCTCAGGCTACCCTCACAGTCTCTCTGCCCTGCCCTGCAGTTGCCCTGCCCCTGGCTCTGTCTGCCCTTCTCTCCCCAAAGCCCCTCCTGCCTCAGTTCTCAGGGACTCTATCCTTCCTCAAGGCTAGCACCCTGCTGCCTCAGACTCCTGCGGCCCCCAGGCTTGGCTCAAGTGGGCACACCAGCCTCCTCGACCTTGAATATGTAAACTCCCAGGTGGGCTGGGGGCGGATAGCTCAAAGGCAGAGCACTTGCCCAGCATGCACAAGACCCTGCGTTCCATCCCCAGGATCACAAGAAACTCCCAGAACAGCACCTTCTCTCTCTCTCTCTCTCTCTCACACACACACACACACACACACACACACACACACACACATACACTCCTTACCCCAGAAGCAAATCCCCAGTCCCTACGACAACCTGCCAGGGAAACTGAGGCTCAGGCAGCTTAAGCAAGTTGGCACAGGAGATCTGACCTCTAAGCATCTTTGCTCCGACCCTCCTGGTGAGGGTGCCCACAGAGGCTTAACCTTCTCCATGCCCCCGCCCACACACAGCCCGGGAGGTCAGCAGGCTGCGCTGGCCAGCAMACACCCAGCACACAGCAGAAGCTGTCAGAGGAGAACCTGGGCCACTTCTATGGAAATGCTTTGGGCTGGACACACACCTGGCCACCTGCTCCTTCCTGTTAAGGGTATGCATGGAGGGGGGCATGGGGGACCTTCTGCAGGGTGACAAGGCAGAACCAGCCAAGGGGTGCAAGTAGGCCAAAGGACTTCCTGGGCAGGGACGCCAGATTTAACAAAATAGCAACACAAGACAGTTAAGTTTGGAATACTCCATGGTCATTCCTGCATCATCTGGAACTCAGTTTGCCGGGGTGTCCCGGCTCYCTCTGGCACCCTGTCCCTGGAGAAGCTTGGGGAGGGGCTTAAGGCTTATGGCTCTGAGAGACTGACTCTAGGACTTGCACCCTGGTCTGAGGCCTGCAGAGAGGCCCTTAAGGGAAAGCATCTGAGGGCTTGTTCTAGAAACTGCCAGAGGCAGGACAGCTGTGTAACCTGGCACAGGACGGTGGGACAGGACAGGCGTGTGTCCTGCCTGGGTGAGAAGGGCCTGCCCGGCTGGCAAGGACTGGAGGAAGCCCTGGCTGAGCCCCCTGCCCTTCTCCTGCCTGGTGGCCAGCAGCCAGCCCTCAAATCTCAGAGCCGCCCCAGGGCACTCACCCGCCTCGCTGGCTCTTAGACTGGTCGGGCTGCAGCCGGAACCAGCCCTCCTCTTGCTGGGCTGCATACAGCCTCTGCATGTTGACCACCACCTGGGGGCAGGACAGATGGGGGCTGGGACACTCAGGCCCCTCCCTCCCAGGTACTGTTCTCTTGGGGGAAGGGCACCTTCCAAGGGTGCCCGAGCACCAGCGGCAGTTGAGGGGGGCGCTGCTGGTCCTGGGCTTCCTGGGCGCTCCYCTCTGGAGAAACTGAGGCAGGTCCCTGAGGGTGGGATGGTGGGAATGGACACCGGGTGCAGCCTGGGGTGTGTGTGCACGTGCTTGCGCGGGGAATGGAGGGGTGTTACCTTGCCCAGGAAGTCATTTCGGCTGACGAGGTCCCAGTCCCAGGCCTCAATGCACAGAGCCTCCGCAGCCCCCTCCTCCAGCTCAAATTCAAATGTCTCGTTCCATCGAGGGTAGCAGGATTTCTTCACAACCTGTTCAGAAAGGGGCAAGGGTGGGGCTCCCTTGACAGGGCTTCCCAGGCCCAGCCAAGGGCAGAGTCGCCCTGGACACTGTCCCTGGCTCTGCAGTAACAGAGGTGAAAACTTCCTGTCCAAAGCCGAGCACAGAGGTGCACACCTGTAATCCCAGTGACTCAGGAGGCTGAGGCAGGAGGATCACAAGTTTGAGACCAGCCTCAGCAACTTAGTGAAACAATACCTCAAAATAAATAAATAAATAAATAAATAAATAAAGAACATGGCTCAGTGGTAAGGTGCCCCTGGGGTTAATTCCAAGTACAAAAACAACAACAAAAAGCAACCTTCTGGACTGGGGTTGTGGCTCAGTGGTAGAGTGCTTGCCTAGCAGGCATGAGGCACTGGGTTCRATTCTTAACACCGCATATAAATAAACAAAAGATTCATCAACATTATCCATCCATTAAACAAAAAAATTAAAAAACAAAAAAATAACCTTCCTGTCCAAGACCACCCATTTCACAGATGGGGAAATAGAGGCCCAGAGTGACAAATAGAATTGCCCAAGGCCACACAGCAAAACAGAAATGGCACTGAGAACCTGTATCACCCTCCCCCAGGTCTGTGCCCACCACCCTACCATCTCCTGGAGGTGACAAAAGGAGGATGGGAAGCTGTGGCACTTCTAAGAGCACCCTCACGGTGCTGTCTTGACCGACTCCCCGCSCTCTCCAGCATGGCCAGGCATGAAAGGAGTTGGCAACAGAAGGGCTGGGACCTGTTCTGTCGCCTCAGAGGGGATGCCCCACGTCCCTGAGCCTCATCTGGAAACTCCAGTTCCAACCTGGCTTCTCAGATGGTGGACAGGGGGCGGGTGGCGAGGGCAGGGCTRGTGGGGGAAGAGTCCCTGGGCCTCCCCGGCCCTCCCCAGCCCACCAGCCTCCTCACCGAGGTCTCCTGTGTCCGGCCGTTGTAGTGCACTCGGACAAAAGGGTCAGATGCGCCATTCCGGTCCTTTGGGGCTAGGTCCCTGATGGTGGGATAGGGACAGTGGATCACCCACCTGTCACCTGGGTCTGCTGCTCCAGCTTGTCATTGCTTCGAGGTAAACACACCAGGCTGGAAAGGCTTGGGCTCGTCCTGTCCCTGGCAAGCCAGCTGTGGACAGCACCTGTCCCCTTTCTGAGCTCCTCTTCCCACAGCGGTCACCCCCTGTCCCCCACATGGCCAAGAATGCCCCATGGTGGAGACCACGGCTCCCTCTGACTGGGCGGCCACAGGCCAGCTGCTGCACTGACTCTGGGGTGGGGTGGGGGCAGTGAAGCCAGGTCAGGCCCCACCCACTGTTCCCTGGGCAGTCCTGGGCAGGGGCCCCCTCTGAGACGGTCTCCTCATTAGTAAAATGGAGAGGATGAGACCTGCCCCACTGAGGCCTACCGACGGTCCCCCTGATGGAGGTGGGCGAGGTGCAGGCCCCGT